ATACATACATACATACATACATACATACATACATACATACATACATACATACATACATACATACATACATACATACATACATACATACATACATACATACATACATAGTCTACATACATACGCCTTTTTTCAGGAAAAAGAAAAAGTATGGGATAGTCTCCACACCACCCGAAAGTCATCATGGTGCACATCACCAGTCCTCAACGACAAAGACACATATCCCCGCCTGTAAGCCGATGAACCGCTTGGGGCAGCGCTGATTACAGGGATTACAATCCTGGGGGAAGACCAGAGTCCGACAGCCTAACAGCTGTTCGGACCCTGGTTGGACTTTTGTTAGATGTACTTGTACAACATGTCCACTGAGCTAAACAGTCAGCGCTGACTGCTTAGCTCAGTGGATATGTTGTATAAATATCTGAACATCTTCCGGCCATCCATTCCATCGCAATCCATCAATCGAGGTCACAAGTCACACCACGACCCCCATTATCCATTCCGTCGTTGCATTCCGCTCATCCTGCCATCCTTTGTCGGAGAACGTTACTCGGTTTGACAGAAAGATGTGATCGGTCGAGCCTGCACCGCTGCGGTTGAAACAGCTGCCCAAGCAGCGGAAGTGGCTGCATGCAGCGGGAGCATGTAATGTGTGTTCTCCCCGCGCGTTCATGTTTTTGGAAGTCTGCTTACGGGCTGGTACCCCCGCACTCAGAGGGAGTTCCATGCTAAGTAATCCTGTGTGTGATCACTGCCTACTGCTGTGTCATGACCTTGGTGATAGTAAGGGCTCCGTGATCGTATGCAATCTAACCTCAGCGGGGGTGCTATGCTATGTACCCCGGGAGGAATTTCCGGCTCGTCGATTTATTTGGGGAGGGGCAAGTGTTGGCACCGACCGGGTGTTGTGCTCTGTGGGGGGTTTCTCATCTCTCGATGGGTGCGTTATCTGGTGCTTTATTTGGCACACCGATCACCCTATCTATATCTTTCAGATGACCTCGGGTAAACATACGTCGATCACTAATAATGTCGATCAGATAAACATGGAGCAAACATACTCCGATCAACTCTCTCCTGCGCGCATATATATTCGGTATTCAGATCACCTGTGCCGTATCGATCACAAGGGACATCCCCTTTCGAGAGAGTTGGCTCAATCTGCAGGGATTTTTTCTACCCCATACAGCATGTGAAACAACTCCCAACATCTACCAACCCAGCACATTTGTCCGATAGATGGGCAATATGATCTCCAAATTGTCTTATTGAGCCTGGTACCCACGGAGGAGATAAAACCATGTGCAGTTTGGAAATCAATGTAATCATTGGATTATTATTATTTTGTTTGCCCTCCGACAATTGCAGATAAATGCAGACATACATAAAGTCGATCGTAAAGGCCATCATGCCAAGCCAAATTAATTCGATGCCCAATAGCTTGGAATGTTTGTTTCTAAGTCAACAAAACTTTTGTCGAAACACTACTACAGCTGAACTCTAGGCACGAACCTTAGATGGAGAAAAACGAACAAAACCCCAACCTCATCCACCCGAAATCAAACAAAACTCGGCCCCGTCTTCCCTGGTACCCCGACACCGTATTGAACAGAAATTCGCTTTCCACCGAAGTGGTTAGGTTTAAGCTGTCGCACGCATATTTCGGCGCGCAAAAGTCTGTGCGGCATTGCTGATCGATATTGCCACCGGTCACACCAAGAGAGAAACACCCGCCGTCTTGCTCTTTCTGAGGCACCCCCCACTCAAGCCCATGTTCCCCCAGACCCCCGACACTGCCACCCCCTGTTCCTACTTCCCCGCCACCTTCAACCGCAAGGATTCGTTCGTTCCTAGTATATCCTGGACTGTTGTCTGCGGATAGAGATGAATTACTCCTACAACAGTGGTAGACTAGACTAGTTGTGTTTTCATAGCACATCAAATACGAATGTCGTTTCTACGCACGTTCATGCCAAATTCGAACCTATCCTTCGATTGGGAAACGAGTTCACTAAATGTCTAGACTACGGGACTTCCTGTACTGTACCACACCTATCCTGAAGCAGGTCCACAATCGCGACATCCATCGAATTCTACGCCCTTGCACGTGGATCGCATTCTGGCCGGCCTGCCTCTGCCCATTGGAGGTCGGGAAGACGATCAGACAGACCCAATCAACGTCGAAAGGGGCTTCGCCGTCTGCTCGAAGGCACTCTCTGATCCTCCCAGCCACGTCCACACTGACTGCTATCGGTGAACGGCGGTTGCTACCATGAGTACCGGAGGTGAGAGTAGTGGCGTTAGGTTGGTGCTGTAACAGAGGAAAGGGGGGTTGCAAGGGGTTTGCATAGCAATTGGAACTAAGGAAAGAGACAAAAGTGGGTGTACCCACCCCTTTCTTAGAGAAAAGTGGGTACTCGATATTTTGCTCTGCGGAGGCCGCTCGTGACAGTGCGCAACCACTCAAAGATAATTCTGATGCATGGAAAACATGGGCAGGGCCCATGCATAGCTTGAACATCGACTTTTTTTCAGGAAAATAGACAGAAGTGGGTATTCCCACTCCTTTCTCCAACAAAAAAAGTGGGTACTCGAAAATTTGCTTCTGCGGAGACCGCTCGTGATAGGGTACAGACATGCAATATCATTCCAATGCATGAAAAACATGGGCAAGGCCCATACACAGCATGACCATCGACTTTTTTCTACGTTCGGCCGAATCTTCACCCCGCACACAGACGCGGCACGCAAGGCCTCAACAGGTTGCCCGATTTTGTCCGAATTTCCGGTGGGTATACCCACCGGAATATGTAGTATTTTCATGTTCATGCTGTGCATGGGCCCTGCCGATGTTTCACCCATTGGAATGGCTCTTGAGTGATTGTACCCTGTCACGAGCGGTCTCTGCAAAGCAAATTTTCGAGTACCCACTTTTGTCTGAAAAGGGGGTGGGTATACCCACTTTTTTCTGTTTCCCTTGAAACAAAGTCGTGGTTCCGCTGTAAGAGATTGGGGAGGAGGGGGTTTACGGTATGACAGGGTCGAAATCGGTTGCCACGGCCTCGACCCGCTATTGTGGGGGTTACCCTGATATACCAAGACCGGGACCTCTGTCGTGGTTTCACCCCAATAAGATTAGGCTCATCAGTTTTGGACTGTCACCAGTTGTGTGTAGTTTGTTGCTCCCACACACCCACACAAATGCGGCGCAAACCCGCCCGGCAGCACCAATACCCAAAATGTGGTCGCGAGTTAATCCGACGCAAGGCGTCACGTCCCACCCGACCGAGTTTATTCCATGATATTGTTCATATTCACCCTTAATATGCCCCGCTTTGCCAATTCCCGACGGCTGACTGGTACATTTACCAGTTGTCCACGACTGCTACGACATGGTAGTGACGACTGGTCAACTTAAACACAAACAACGATTGTTGCTGGAGAGGAGGCCTCCTCACGCCAACCCCTGCACCTACCACCTCCTTGCTGATGCTCAGTCATTTGCAGTTAGAGTGAACATGGCCAGTACTACATACGATATGGGATGGAGTGAGTGTGGTAAATGTCCTACCCCTTCTCCATGCGCGACGACTCGCTTGGTGTGTGGGTCTGTCGACCACCTCTTTCTGCCACCACAAATCCGCCGATGACTTTTCTGGAATGCTCCGTGCATGTTCTGGTTCAGTCAGGCATATCAACCGTGTTCCGTGCAACCATGGAGCGCGTCTCGGACGTCGGTTGCCATCATGTTGGAGAAGGAAAGTTCGTGTTTTTGGTGTCGTGGTCTCATCGATGGAAGGGTCCCAGTTCCTGGCAAGGCCGGGCACATGTCTGAAATTCAGGGTACATTTGCAGAGAAAGGTGTAGCCGCGGCAGGGTTCAACCCGGGCTTTTCGACGCGGCAAGTCAGCGTCGACCAATCAGCTAGACTCAGGTCACGATGCTTTCAAAATATGTAATCAAGTCGCTTTATGAACACCAGTTGGGATCATCAAAGCAAAATGAATGTTGGAGACACAGATCATGCTTGACGTTTCAAGTGATGGGGTTATGAAGGACGTGTTCCGGAGGTTGATCTGTCGACCCAACACCTCCGGGAACGGTGGCAAAGAGCCTGATTGACTGTGTTGACTTTGTTTCAAGAGTACAATTTCATTCGATATTGTAGCTGAAGTCGCATGAAAAAGACCCATTTCATAATTTGCCAGATGGCAGTTTCTCTTTCAGCGGCCTACCGAGTGGAACGTTTACTGGCCCCGACTAGAAGTGTCCGAAGGAGTGGCGCTCGCCATGAACAGTCAACAGGTGGTCAATTGCGGTGCACCGCTGTGTTTGTTTGGTGCCATGGTCGGTTGCCTTCTTACTATCGACACCCCCAGTCGCGCAGCTAGAAATTTCCCACAGGCCCGCAAAACTTTTCGTTTGTGTTTCTACGTGGATGTTTATGTGCCATCCTCCCCAATCTCAGGAAGGATCGAGTACTTCGACGTCTTGATGGCCACATTGAACCCGGCTTGCGAAGGACAAGCAACGCGTTGGTATGAATCTACGCTGGAGCTTCAGCGTGTGTCCCTGGCTTTTTGTGAGGCGTGCAGAAGTTTCCAGACCTTGCACGTGGGCGTCGATAGACACACGCCTCCTAGCTTGTGGTCCCCCACCCCGAGTTGCGTACCGGTTGTATAGGCTTTAGGTATGACGTGGGTATTGGGATGTTCGTCTGCAGAACGGCTAGGATCGACGCTTTTGCATCAAAGCCTCAAATGGCTAACAATTGATTTGGATACGGCCGTGAACACGGCATCGGGGCCGGTCGCTCTGGAGCAGCTATCGTTTGGGGACGAATTCAACCGGCCCATCGCCGACTTTGAGTGGTCAGTCTCCCTGTTGCAGCTATCGTTCGGGGACAAATTCAACCAGCACATTGCACAGGTCGTGTGGCCGGTCTCCCTGCAGAAGCTATCGTTTGGTTGGGAACTCAACCAGCCCATCGAACAGATCAAGTGGCCGGTCTCCCTTCAGCGTTATCGTTTGGGCTTTGCTTCGACCAAACCATCGCCGGAGTCTCGTGGCCGACCTTCCTGCACCAGCTAAGGTTTGGGTATAATTTCAACCAGAGCATCGCCGAAGTCGTGTGGCCGGTCTCCCTGCGGTAACTATCGCTTGAGAGTGGCTGGAACCAGCCCATCGTCGGAGTCGGGTGGCCGGCCTCCCTGCAGAAGCTATATGTTTGGGGAGAACTTCAACCAGCCTGTAGATGAAGTCGAGTGGCCGACCTTCTTGCTGCAACTATCGTTTGGGTATCATTTCAACCAGAGCATCGCCGATGTCGTGTGGCCAGCCTCCCTGCAACAGCTATCGTTTGGTTCATACTTCAACCATCCCATTATCGGAGTCGGGTAGCCGGTGTCCCTGGAGTAGCTATCGTTTAGGTATGATTTCAACCAGCCCATCACCGACGTTGAGCGGCCGGCCTCCTTGCTGCAGCTATCGTTTGGGTATCGTTTCAAACAGAGCATCGCCGCAGTCGTGTGGCCGGTCTCCCTGCAGCAGTTATCGTTTGGGTATCATTTCAACGAGAGCATCGACGAAGTCGTGTGGCCGGTCTCCTTGCAGCAGTTATCGTTGGGGAAGTTTGCAACCAGCCCATAGTCAGAGTCGTGTGGCCGGCCTCCCTGCAGCAGCTAACGTTTGGGTAATACTTCAACCAGAGCTTTGCCGCAGTCGTGTGGCCGGTCTCCCTGCAGCAGCAATCGTTTGGAGAAAGATTCTACCAGCCCATAGTCGGAGTCTCATGGCCGGCCTCCCTGGAGCAGCTATCATTGGGTGGGGACAGCCATTCATTGTCGGATTGGTATGGCGGGCCTCCTCAAAAAGTGTGACTCGTGGTGAAGTAAGCTTGTTATAATAGCTCTCGGCGCACGCGCGTTTCTTTGGGCCCTGATTTCGGCAAGGTAGAACTGGAAGGGTTATGGTGGGGCAGATGGTACCCGGATAGGTACACATGTTTATCCGTTCTAGACAAGCGCATCGCTGTCGACCAGGAAGCACGTGATGCTCAGCCAGGTCGAGGTGACCATCTCTTACATTTCACGACATCGTCCCTTCGTGGCACGACACACTCTCGAAAGCGACCGTTGGAGACTTCGTGAAATGACGTACACCGACGAAGGGGAAGAGGTGTTTGGTGGGCAGTATCACTTCATCTAGGAAAAACATGTCATCCAGGACAAGCGAATACACCTGCATGGACATGTTTCCCTGGCCATCAAGTCTTGAGACATGGAGGTAGGAGGGCGAGGGGGTCCTATAGGCACTTGAAACCGTCGGAGGAACTTAAATTCAGCCTTCGGTGGTTCGCACCTACCCAACACCGTGCGTTTGACGACTTCCTGCTCAGCGTCACTGCTCGATACTCAAAGCGGAAACTTAGGTCCATCGTGGCATGTCACCAACTACACAGCACGTCTCCTCAGTATTCTTGTCATGAGAATCTGCAACAGGCTGGGCTGGATCCGAAACGTGCCCCGTCTTCGTAGCTTGTCACCATCTCTTTCTATTGGCATCATCGACAGGCTTCCTTCCGATCACGCCTGGATGTTCCGTAACAATGGTCAACACGCCGGTAGCTAGAAGATTGCTGCTTCCTCGAAAAGGGGCACAAAACTGGCGAGGGGCAGAGCTTGACGGCAGGCCGAGTAAGGGAAAAGAGACAACACGCCATGCCACGCATAGTGTAATTGTAGAGGATGCGTAGTCTAGGTATTGAATCGAAGATGACGGGAGAACGCTCTTGCGTGCATAGGATGTTTACCGTATCAAGTGTACAGTAATGCTTTTTTCGACACCGATGTCACAAATGATATTTTCGACCCCTTACAAATGCTTCGAAACCAAATCCTCTGGGTTCCTACAGCTCTCAGCTGTCACGCAAGCCCTCGTTCGTCCCATAGTGACCGGTGGTTGCCGAGACATGGCTCAAAATGATGTCACGGCACCACCTCGGCGCGTAAGAAATGGAAGATTAGACATCTGTACGACACCGCAAATAACTTTCCGAAAACACCCCCTATACGCACGGAACGAATTGAACTGTGTTTCCAGGGCCCCCGGCTGTCACACAAGCCATCATTCGGCCGAAATCAACACGTGGTTTCCGAGATACGCCCAAGAATGCGGCCGAAGCACCACCTCGGCGGTGTCGTAAGCAGCCCGTTATAAGTGTGTGTGTGTGTCTTAATTATTTGCATCGACCGCGCTAACCGGCCGACCAATGAAACGACGTGCGTCATAGTGCGGTTGAACACACAAAACATCTCTATCTGCCATGAACTGGGACCCCGTGAGGGGGCAGCATGGGGGAGGCTAAACTATCCTTTGGATCAAAGACAGAAACAGCAGCAACAGAAGAAAACTACACGCGTCTACCGAGGCTATACCTTGTACTCTAGTTCGTTTAGGAGCACTTTCACCATTATCCTCGTTGTTGTCGCTACCGTCATTTTGATCCTCATTTTGACAAGAATAGCCTGCCAGTTCTTCTCTGGCCCTGCGTTTTTTGTTTTGGGGAGGGTCATCCGGCTCAAACTCTTGGCTCTCTTCCACTCCTCCGTGTTGTCCTCCTCCATCGTCGTCTTCGTCCTCCTTTCTTCCGTTTCCCTTTCCTTCGTCTCCGTCACTCCTAAAAGAATTACCCTCAATACTATCGTTGTCGCAGAGATCCCACCCGATTGGCCGTGGTGGAAGTTGGTCGATCAGCCCATGATGTTTGAACACGTCGCGAGTTCGCATCGACAGGAAACGAGCGAGCTCGAAGGCTAACCGTTTCCGAATCCTGTTATCAGTGTGAAAAGCTGTCAGGCGAACTAGGGCTCTTTCGTCGTCAAAATTCCCCCGGCAAAAAGCTTCGTGGGCCCAGTGGTTGGCGATCGCAACGATAAATCGATTGGTGACTTTGTCGAGACCACCATACGATGAAAAGGCAGCAGCAAGGAGGGTAGATCTAGACGGGTTGAAAGTTCCCGCAAAGTGATTTGCCTTACGTGCAGCTCGATCTTCGAGGGCGGATCCTGGCGTTTGGATGGACTTGTCGATGCTTCGACTTGCAATTGGGTTTACGATAGTAAAATCTAGAAGAATGAACTTGGTGAAGAGTTCCTCTTCTCTCTGTCCTGCGTGAAATCCTGGGGGGATTACCAAATCCATCTTGTATAGCCCCTTTCCCCTACCAGTGCCTGTGGTAAAAGGGGAAGAATCCTCAACGGCGATGGGCATATGGCACTCGCGCATTGTCTTGAGGATTACCCGAACCATTCTATTTTGGAGGAAGGTTGAGGCGCCAGTCTTGGTGCAGACGAGGAAGTGGGCTCGACTCAAGCGGTGTTTGCATGGTAGCAATGCACCTGCACCACAAAGTTTGCCTGTGTCGCAGTCNAAGAGTTCCTCTTCTCTCTGTCCTGCGTGAAATCCTGGGGGGATTACCAAATCCATCTTGTATAGCCCCTTTCCCCTACCAGTGCCTGTGGTAAAAGGGGAAGAATCCTCAACGGCGATGGGCATATGGCACTCGCGCAGTGTCTTGAGGACCACTCNGCAATGCACCTGCACCACAAAGTTTGCCTGTGTCGCAGTCTGTTCGATCGTGACTCCCCACTATACGACCGATTGACTCCCGATATAGGTCAGGCAGCATTCTTTCATCTGCTGAAAACCCTTGCGTTGTCAGCCACGACAAACTCCCTTGCCTTTCGCTTGCTCCAAGCGGATCAATACCCTCTTCTCTGACGTTTCCTTGCCTGCTACCCTTTGCAAGTCTGTCTCCACCGTATGGCGCACTGCTGCATGAAAATATTTCGAGCGGAGGGCTTGGCCTCCAAAGACTTGGTATTGCTGACCATATTCGTTTCGGCTGTTGTAGTGGGTAGACGGTGGTTGATGTTCCACCTCAGGGTTTCCATCTTCACTGGGTTTTCCCGCCTTCCCTGCTTCCAACAGGCAAACTCCTTTGAGGGGGGGGGTTAAATCATCACTTGTGGCAAGTTTAGCACATGACTGTCAACAGCTTTTTCATGCTTGTCTTTGGTCATGATCTCCACGAGCTTCTTGAGCGATTCAATCAGAGAATTTTGTAGGTAGCTGGGCAAGCCGGCAACGAACGGAATGTAACATGCATACAAATCTGCGCACCAAGCGTTAAATGAGGGACCGAGTGTTGAATGGGCATGTGACCTTTTTTGCAAGGAGGCCACCGCCACATGACCCCTCCCCGCCCCGCTCCGCCGCCCTACAAGCAGTCATCGCTCTTCGTGTGTGTTACTGTAGTCTAGGCAAGAAAAAGCTTCCAGGAGTAGTATAACCAGAACCTGACTGGCTGTCAGCCTGTCGATGCAATTCTTCGCAATCTGCCGTGCATATCTCGACGAGTGCGCTGGTTGTCTGTCACGGGCATCAAGAAGCTGAGACGGAGGGAGAGGAGGGCGAAACGCGGAGGGATGTCTCTTTTGGCAGGTGCTTGTCCGAATCGTGATGAACACACCGTTTTCTGGTTCCAAAATGGTTCTGTTTTCGGTATAATGTGGATTTTGGATCGCTCTCCCGCTCTCGCCTCCTACCTCCTCCTGCAGCCAGTCTCACGGGCAAGAACCCATCCTGTTCTCTCTACGCTCCTGCCTTGTTAGTGAGTACACCTCTAACGGTTAGACCCAAGCCACAGACATGAGTGACTCTACGCCTAAAACACGCCGCGAGGGGCCTGCTCGGGCGCGTGCTCTCGCCCGACAGCAGGCTGCCGAAATCCCCACAAGTGCGACGGCCTGGCTACAAGGATCGCACGAGGCCATCGTGCTGCACCCCGAGTGGCAACAGGCAAGGTCGCACGCGCAGCACATGTCAAACACGACGGGTTCTCGATGTAGGGATGCCACAGCACGTTAGGTGTTTCCAAGGAGTCGTGGAACGTACAGTAGTGCACCAGTGCACCGCTACAGCGGGTATCGTGTCTTGAAACGAAAAAATCATCCTGGAATGCACCAACAACAAAAAATTAGGCACGGCCTGTCCCCTCTTTTTGTTGGGCGCACACCACATCAGAAAGGACAACCCCCCAAATGGAACAGTCCGATCAATGGTCACATTTTGATATGAAGTCGTGGATCAATTGACGTTGGTTTGTAGAAAGTCTGAAGCAATCGTCAAGAATTTTTTTCGACGAAGGCTACACGGTCTGTGCGACGTTCGTTTTCCGAGAGCCAACAGGGAGGAGTTGGTCAGCACCGACCCGCAGGGCGTAAACAGTGGCATGCTACAATATGAATGACCACGTTGTTAGGCGGTAGAAATCCTGTGATAGGTGATGTCATTCTTATTGGTAGGGCATGTGGTCATACCCTGGAACCTCAGGTCCCCACTCTGTGTAGTCGGCATATTGTGTCTCCGCCTGCGCGTACTATCCCCTTGTCTCTATGCATACACATGGCCAAACTCACATCTTGCAACCCATGCTCGTCTGGATTATCTGTTTCAGCTCCAAGCACGCCTTGAAGACCTGGCGGAGGTCGCCGTTCGAGCCCACCTGGACGAGGCCTACCCCCAGGCCCACCCCCACACGATCGAGGCCGCCCGACAGATCTCCGGAGACATGTTCGGGCAAGACACAGCCACCAACCTTTTCCGAGGAAAGGCTCAGCCGCACCTCCTTCACGAGCCCTACCTCTCGGCGGGCGGGGCGGTGGGCTTGCTGGGCGAGACTCTCGCACACATAGCCGGGAAGGTGGACCAGGGTGCAGAGGCCCAGAACATGCTCGAATCTCCAGAGTTCGGAGCCTTTCGCTCTCTCGTGAGCTCGGTATACGTCGGGAGCCTCCAGAAACGCGCGGACTACGCCGCAAGGGGGGAGAACCGACAGGCTAGGGCAGTTGAAAGAGCAACGGGGAGTCAACACAAGGGGCACGATGCCGCCGCAAGTAACAATGGCCACCAATACGAACGCGGCGGCAAAGCCAGCCCCGGCGAAGTCGACGACGGACAAGAGAAGAAGATCGACGAGGACACGCGCGGGATCGCTCGCGCGGGACACGCCGCCTGCAGCGGCGACATCGCGCAGGCGCTCGTGGCCATCGCCGCGGGGGAAGGGTTCGAGCGTTTTGGCCGCACCGCCCCCGGGAGGGGCGATGGCGACCAGAGCAATAGAGGCGGCGGCGGTGCGGAACGAGCCGGGGGTCGAGCCCCGGTCTCTGCTAAAGGGCGCAAGGGTGCATACGGCGGCGGCGGTGCCAGAGGTGTTCCTGGGGGGGAAACGGGGTTGAAGGGCCCCAAGGGCAGGGATGACGTCAGCGGCAACGATTCCGCCGCCCAGGAGTACTTGTTTCAACAAGAGAGGGAGAGCTTGGAGCACGCGGCTGCCAAGCTCCGGTACCTCTCCGAAGACGCCGCAGTAGCTGCAGGGGTCGGGGAGAACGGGCTTCGGGCGGGTTTAGATGGTGCCGTGGAGGCGGCGGAGGGAAGGTTTCCGGGGTTGGAGTGGCTTGCCCCGCACATTATCGGCAGGTCGATTCCGATGGAGCTCAGGTAGTTGCCTACTGAACGGTGGTTGTGCTTGATTTGTCAGAACGATTATCACGTTTCAAAGTGAACGAAAAGGGATGGTCGGAACCGCGTGGAACATCACTGATTTTGGTGCTGACAATGCTTGACCGCTTTCAAGTGGACATCGGCATTCCTTTACACAAACGACAGGGTCTACGTAAATCGATGCAGGCTTCAACGCCTGGTTTGATGGATAGAGCACACACCGCGATCAACAACAAATCGAATCGGCAACACTTGACGAAAACGCACGACGCCACCGAATCGGTCAGGAGAGAGCTGTGGGAGCGGACGCTCCTTCGCGGCAACGGCGGCGGACCGTCTCCCGCGGAAGTGGAGCGGCTCATCGTCCGATACGCCGGGGAGAAGGGCATCGTGGACCCGACGAACACGCCGATAGCGGGGATGGTGGCCACCGGAGTTCGACATCGGGCCGCGGAGGCGTTTCCTTGGCTCTCCCGTGGCGGGTGGGTGCGTTGAGGCGACGCTCGAGATCCCGGCGCTGGAGCTGCGCAGAACGAGGCAGTTTGTTTTGTAGGCCGTTGGTGTTCGCGCGCGCTCGCACCGTTGCGGCGACGGCCGTGCTGCAGGCGTTCACTTGCTGCCGGGTGTGCTGTTTTCTTGGCATCGCGAATGAAAGAGTGGACTTCGTAAAATGCTTCCTTGGCGGGCGTAACCTGCACGGAAAACATGACCCAGCGACCGCCGCCCCATGTACGCTTCCGAGACTGAGACCCGCACGCCAAGCTTTACCCTGCAGCCACACCCCTTTTTCGATGTTGTTCCTAGAGCATGTTGCGAGACCTGGAACTAGCAGTTGACCTCTCCAACGGCAACACAACGCAACGCAGGGGACAAGAGCTAGACCAGAGGCGTAGGATTTGCGGTGAGGCGGAGAAACTCCTGAACCAGTACTTTGTGTTCGTGGGCAAGCACGAGTCGAGGCACGTGGCTTCGTCGCTAGTGCTGGCGTACGTCTTCGGCCAAGAAGTGGCCACCACCACGAAAGGTGGCGAGACTTGACAGTTCAAGAGAGGATCGAGCCTCTTGGCGCCGACCGATCGCCCTCACTTCGATCTTACGCCTGTGTCATGTTGTGGTATCTGCGGTAGTGGGGCACGGAACGCGCAGTAGGGGCCTGTTGCAGCAGCTAACCAACTCATGAAACCCCCGCGGAATACACTCATTCCATCATTGGTGAAGAACAAATAAACGTGATTACCCTGTGCCTCTCGCCGCTGTGTAGCAGGTGAAAGGGGAGAAACGGCCGGTGGCGCTGCCGCTCTTGTCGCCATGCTCCACAGCCTCTCCACCCGGTTTGCCCCGGGCGCGGAAGAGTTACGTCGGGGGTTCAGGATGCGCGCCTACGAGGAGATTCGAAGCCGCGACGCCCCCCTCTTCGAACATCTCAGCACGTTGTTCCCCGGTAAGAAGGGGAGAAGGGGGAGGGGTGGGGCAGAGGTCGAAGAATTCTTCACCGTGAGTCAGAACACGGCGGCAGTGGGGAGGACATATCACCGCCGGCTCCGTTCCGCTCAGGAGGCAGCAGAGCACCGTTTGTATCGGTAGAGGAAAAACCGTGCTCCGTTCCGCCGAAAAAGTGAAAGCTACAGCTGGTATCGAGTCCCAATTTGTTTTCGGTGGTTTGGTGCAGCTGATGGTCGATCCTGGCCCCATCCCTGAAGACCTCGATTATAATTGAGTCTAATCGTTCGTGCCCAGGTAGAGGTATGCCTCGTCTCCGCTGCATAATTTTGCTGGTCCACCCCGTGTAGTATGGTTACCGTCCAGACAGGCATCATAAAAGGTAAACCGGTACAACTACTTGACCAGTGAAACCGCCGGAACGTTGAACATTTTCTTGGGGATTCCTAACCCCCGCCGTCCGCATAACGCCAAATACCACAACAACGCCGAATTCGCGGTCTTGAGAGACGACGGCACACTCAAAGTGCTCCAGCATCTCAGTTTGGTGGGCGTTCATTGACGTTCGCCAGGTCTTGGCTTTTTGTACGCGTTTTTGGCTCTGTTCGCCGCAGCGTACAAGTACGGAGTTGAGGGTGACGAAGACAGCAGTGATGCCGCCGTCTCCGCGGTCACGTCCGCAGGCGACACAAAGAAATCCAGGGGTTTGGTAGAGGCGTGGCTAGAGGACGCTTTCGTGTCCTACCTTCGGGAGGACGCCCTCCTCTTCGTGTGGGATCACCTGTTCCTGCTAGGGTAAGCGAAAGGGTTGGGGGGGGGGGGAGTGGTCGACAAAGGGTTGTGCTAGATTGTCCTTCTCCACTGCATACTCCTAGAGCGGTGAAATGCTGGGAGGGAAAGGTCTTTCTGATTGGGTCANTTCTCCACTGCATACTCCTAGAGCGGTGAAATGCTGGGAGGGAAAGGTCTTTCTGATTGGGTCATTGCATTGAATACAAGGCACTGCAATGATAAAGAGACTCTAGACTAAGTCCTTTCGCTTGCTCCTGGCCTCCGACTTCTGCTCCTTCGCCTTCCCTTCCCCAACGACCAACCAATGACGACACGCTACATTCATTGCATGCAACAGGTGGGAGGAGCAACTTCCTCTCTTTGTTGCGGACGTCGCGCTCCATCTTCGTGCGAGCCTCCTTCGAGCGAGCAACCCCGTTACGCTCCTAAGCCTAGCCCGAGACGCCTGTCGCAGGATTTGCACGCGGGACATCCGCGACGCGTTTCGCAGAAGGAGGAAGAGAGCGCCCGCGAAATAGGACAAGACGACATGTAGTTTCACTGTACCGCAAAAAACGGGGACTCAAAAGATCTCCCAACAGACAGCAGGGTGCGGGCCAAATCAAGAGCAATCGCCAGCTCCACGTCTTGTTGGTTTGCCTGTGCTGTAGGTCGGTTCTCATGTGGCATCCGTGCGGTCCGCAGCTGACGTATCAAGATCGTGAACGTACGTTTTAAGGTTTGCCAGAAAATTTGTAGAACAGGAGAAGTTCAAACCTTTTGTTCGGTTTCAACCCTATCAAGGGTATCTTCGTGCGCCGCGACACGGAGCAGCGGCACAACTCTTCCGTCGAGAAGCCAAGCACAAGCCCCCGCCTCAACATCTTCCCCGTCTATAAGATTTCCAGAAGCTTCCTAGCAAGAAAGTGCCCTCAAAACCTCTGGGCTTGTCGACACAGGACGGGATGGCACAGCAGGGTGGACGTGTCGTGAGTGGGTGGGTAGGTGAACTGCTGTCGGTCGTGTTTCGACGAGCAAACCACGTTCTTTTATTTCACTTCTCTTCTCTTCTCTTCTCTTCTTTTCTCGGGGGGGAGACTCTGCCAGGACCGACGGGGAAATCCTCGTCCTTAACCGGATCTCCAGCCTCGCCACTATCACGGGGTCCCGAGCTGGCAACCAACAGGCAAGGAGTTGGACGACGTCTGACGAGATCGACGTGATTCTTCTCTCCATCGAACAATACGAAAGTGTGTACGGTACACAAACATACACGTGTTTTGTGTTGACTAGCATTAAGTAATCCTTGGTGCCTCGCCAAAAAAAATGGCGGGGCTGTGTAGATATTTACAAAGTAAACATAACCTCACAGAAAGATTGTAGATCTACGAGCTAAAACTCCCGCAATCCTGGGCAAGGGCAAAGCAGACAGCCAACCTCAAGGGCGTTTGTCACGAAGGAGGACAAGACCGCAGCACAAGCAGTAGTTTCTCACGGGCGTCTCGACCAAGACAAAGGCTCACACTCCCCAAGAGGACGACACGCACCCAGCGCGACTCTCATCGTTACCATCATCACCATCATCACGCATGAGGAAAAAAGAAAAAAGCTTCTTGTTCTGCGAACGAACCCGCATCGTCAAATACAAACCACCATCGCTATACCCATACGAGCACCGAAGGGTCTCGACCACGCCATGGACGATTGGATAGACGATAGGCCTTATCGCCCCACCGA